TTTAAAAAAAATAGAAAAAAATTTAATGTGAAAATTTTCAAAAAAAATTGTTTTGTGCGCTTTTGGACAATTTCCATCATTTTTTCATTTCTTTGAAAATTTTCAAAATTCCTTTCATAAATGTCTCCACCACATGCATGGCAGGCCCGTTCTCTGTCGGACTCCCACGTGTACAGCCTCTGACGAACGCAGTCTGTGCCTGATACGATGTCTGCACTAACAGGTCTCTGTATGACACTATCTCTGACGTGTAGACTCTGCACACGACGGGTGCAGCAGACACCACGTAAGGCCGAGACATGGACCGACAGAGAAGGCGTGAGTCCGTCAGAGACACGGTGAGACTCAGATTTGCGGAGGCAGCTTACTTTAACCACTGAGGCAAGCACCAACCGAGTGATGTAGAAGGCAGGTCGGGCAGTCATCTCCTTGGGAGATTTGAAAAAGTTCAAAATTTTCGAAAAATCAAAAAACGCTGCAAATCTTCTGAAAAGCGCACATAACCAAGAATTTTCGAAAAATTCTGAAAATAATTAAAAGTTGAAAATTTTCAAAAATTATTGGTTTTGTGCGCTTTTTGGACGATTTCCTACGTTTCTTAATTTTTCGAAAAATTTCGAAAAATTTGAAAATCTTCAAAACTTTTCGAAATTTTTAAAAAAAAGAAAATGGTTGCAAATGGCATGAAACGCGAAGATAAATAAGAATTTTTTAAATTTTAGACAAAAATTTTGAAAACGGAATTTTTCAAAAATTCTTGGTTTTGTGCGCATTTTGAACGGTTTCCTACGTTTTTTGATTTTTCGAAAAATTTGGAAAAAAAATTCAAAATTTTCTCCTCACTATACCGGCCAGGACCGTCTGTGCACGTCCCGGTCACTACCGCCCTCCTTCTCTGTCGGACGCGGTGTCTGCCAAACTCGCACTCTGTACGTCGTCTGTATCACTCGACATATGCCAGGCCGTCTGTGGAAAGACCTGGTTCGGCAGAGACCGGGTGAGGCACAGACCGAAGGCAAGGAGACAAGTGTGACACATACAGAGTGAGGCGAAGACGTGGTGAGTCACAGAAAATGGGAAGCAGAGCTCGGGTGAGGCAGAGACAGAGTCAAGCATGAACAGGCTGATGCACATACCGTATCAAGCAGAGGCCGGTGAGGCACAGGCCGTGTCAAGCAGAGACCTGGTGATTCACACCGTGTAAAGCAGATACCGGTTGAGGCACAGACAGTGTACGGCTGAGACTGTGTGAAGTAGACAATAGCAGGGTCGGGGTCTGGCAGAGTCTAGATCTGATAGGGAAGGGTCAGGTCAAATTTAGAAAAAATATTTTCAATTTTCTCGAAATTTTCGAAAAATCAAAAAACGCTGCAAATCTTCTGAAAAGCGCACATAACCAAGAATTTTCGAAAAATTCCGAAAAAATTAAAAGTTGAAAATTTTCAAAAATTCTTCGTTTTGTGCGCTTTTTGGACGATTTCCTACGTTTTTTAATTTTTCGAAAAATTTGAAAAAAGTTTAACAAAATTTTCTCCTCACTATGTCGGCCTGGACCGTCTGTTCACGTCGCGGTCACTGACGCCCTCCTTCTCTGTCGGACGC